CAAGTAGAATTTGCATAAAATGAGTGCAATGGATATGTGAATATACTATAACGAGACTTAATATCGTAGAATGAAGGAATAGGGATGTCACAACAGAACCATACAATTGAAATTTTCACTGGCCTATTTTATTAATATGGAAAAGATCATTTGAGAAAGTATATTCCGATTGTAGGCAGGTATTTCCTTTATGTAGAAAAGTTGTAGGTTCTTTAAATAAGTCACGATCATTGATTCAAAATTTGATGTTTAGGAGTTTAAGTCATTAAGTTCAGTGCCAGCAAGGAGTATTTATCCAGCCGATTTTAGGGCCTAACATAAGAAGTAAGAACCATAGAAGTAGAAGGTGAAGCGAGATTGTTCAATGTCTACATGTAATGCATAATTTTCCTTTGCTGCTTGTATACCAAGGAGTACTTCTGATTTAATCAACCTTATAAATAATGGCATCGGAAAAAATACGTCCAAACCTGACGTGTGTCGAATTAGAGATAAAATTCGACCAAGTTACATGAAATACATTAAGTGGGTAGGAAAATAGGAATATAAAGCAAGCTCAGCTCTTATACTGGATGAGCATCTAACCTGTTATAATATGATAAATATAAATGGTCTTTAAGTTCCAGGGCAAATAAATCCGAGAAGTTGATTGGTTTCCAGGTATCCCATAAAATATAAGTACACCACTTTAGTAAGAATAGGTACCCCCTAAATCTTTAGTATGAGGCATTTTGAGGATATACTAGAGCAAACACCCCTAGGAATCATAAACGGTGAAATGCTGACAAAGATGCATAGTCATTATCCTATAACTAAAAGATCAACAAAAATTTGCTAGGGAAGCAAGAATTTAGTGTGCCTCCCAGTGACACAAAGCTCGTTAGTTGCTTCATCACGGAAGTGCACTTCAAGAAATGCCAATGTTTTGCCTTTGCGCATCAAAAATGAGTCAACAAGGACCCAATTTCCAAGTGAGATTGGCTTGAAACAGCTGCGAATAAAAATAAGTTGAAAAAGACTAGGATTTAGTTCGATATTGTAAAAAAAATTAATCTTAATATTACAGCAAATAATGCATACAAATGGAATATTTTCAACAATTTATAGCCAAATAATATAGAACTAAAAAAACTCGAGCAATTTCAATATAAGCAAGTTAGTAAATTTAAGGCACGCCTTCATCAATGAGCAAGATTGTCTGTTGTGTTCTAGCAAAATAAGATCGCAGGTGCATCAAAGTTAATGGGATTCATGAGCCTAGACGTGTAGGTTAGATATTAGTGCGTTAGACGGACTAGAATAAGGCAATTGAGGATGTTAGTAGGTGGATCCTTTAAAGCGAGAGCTATTAGCATAAGAAACAGCATATTAGGACAAAAAACCCTTTAATGAATAAAACTAAGAAAGATCAATGGTGGCGTCGAAGAAAGGAAAGTTGAAGTTGGAAGTAAAAATTAAACATAGAAGCAAAAATATTCCAAGAAAATTGAATTTAACTTAATATTAAAAATAAAAAACAATAAGAGAATAATAGAATTTAGACTACTATGATTATAGTAAATATATACATCGTAGAAAGGTGGCTATGTGCGAATCTAAGGGATAATGGCAGGCCTCAGGAAGATCAAACTGTCAGAACGTTATACTGTTTATATGGCTTCTTTTTTACGAGCACTTTTGTGCTCTTACTGGTTATTAGAAATTTGGGCTCTGCCATGGAGTTTTTCATTGGTAGTCAAGTTAGGAATAATTTAAAGCAAATGGAAAAGTATTGCTAAAATTTAGAATAATTCTTTGGAGAAGGGGACGATTAGCATCAACTCACGCATAAGACAACTTACATTAAGCATAACAGAAAATAACTTACGAAATGCCCAAGTCTACAGTTACATGATTATCATGCCCGTGTCTAATAAGATCTAGACTCGAAATCACGTCGACAGCAGAAGCCATATAGCCACCATGCAACTTCCGGTAGGAGTTCATCTCCGCCTTGCTAACTTGGAAACGACATCTCAAGTATTCTTTTTCTACCGCGACCACAGTGCACTGCGTAAAGAGGCGATTAAAATTTCCATCACCAGCTAAAGTGACCAGTATCTTATTGAGTCTCACAGCATTCATAGTCTATCAAGTGAAAACTATTGCATTCAATGATGATGACGAAAGTATGGCAAATAGTTTCCTAACACAAGCTACATGAAGCGTGGTAAAAGTGAATAAACAGCCTTAATTATGCTAATTAGAGCATTAAAAAGTATGATACTGCTTATCGATGCAACCAATGTGATAGTTAATCAGAAGGCAAGCTGAACTGTTAAGACAGAAAGGATGATTGTAAAGTAATATTGGTCTTATGATTAACAAGTGGTAATAAAATTATATAACATAAAAATGTAAAGAAGAACTTTATTGTATATAAAATAGATTGTAACTAAATTTGGCATAAAAAGTCATATCTAGAGAGACCTGAAATATATGCCAACGAAGCATATATGAAATCAGAATCAATGATGAGGGATAAGAATTAAAAAATAAGGAATAGGGAAGTAATAACTTCAATTTCGTAGGAGTATAAAGTCCCAAAAATTGGTCATTAAAGTGACGAATAGAAAACTTAAGGTGACAAAAGCAAAGAACTACAAGCGAAGGTATGAAGAGAAAGATGGTGTGACCTTTTGTGTGGTCGCAATCTCCTTTTGTTGTATAAAGGTTCTTTGACCATGTTTTCTGAACTTGGTCATATTGGTAGGAAGACTTAGAGGAACGCATCTAGTCCGGAGTCCATTGTATGCATGATCAT